AATAAAGAACTATTGCAATCATAGTCCTAATTTTTTAAAAAAAAGTTCAAACAAATCCCAAATAAATTATTAAAAAACTAGAAGTTAATATTTTTTAAAAAAATACAAATGAGTCTCGAATAAATTATTAAAAATTAGAAATTCAAAAAATTTAAAAGTGCAAATTAATTCCAAATAAGTTATTAAAAAAAATTAGAAATTATAAAAAATTCTTTTTTTATTTAAATAGAAGTGTATATTCTTCATTTCAGAGCTTTTATTGAAAAATTGGATAGAAAGTATAGTTTGAGCAATTAAAGGTGTAACTAAAAGTTGAAAATGCTAAAAAATGAAAGATATAGACGTTTTTCACATTATATTATAATTATCATTTTAATAATTTATTTGTGACTCATTTTCACTTTTTTTAAAAAAAAATTGGGATTTTGACTGTAATTAGTTCTTTATTTTTCTTTTGGTCGTATTTAAATTGAAGAGTATATTCATCATTTCACAGTATTTAATTGTGAAAATGGATGAAAAGAACATTTTGTACAATGAAACGCCAAAAAATGAAAGGTAAAACGTTTTTCATAATAATTGTGAAATGTCAAAAATGATGATTTAATTCTTGAAGTTATCTCATACTTGTCCTTAAAAACATCAATTCGATGCAAAGTTTTAAACAAGAATTTTCATACGCATATCTCAAATCAAAGCTTTGAACATAAATAGTGTTCGTTCAAATCAAAAGTTTGCAATGTTCTCTACTGTTCGAATTTATATCACAAGATTTTTCCTACTCTCATTAGGTCGTTCTTACCTTCTGAACAAACTAGATATTATTAAATCATTTCTAATCAGTTTCCAGTATTGACTTTGTGTGGTGACTTTCTTCTTCTTCTTATTCATATACGAGCTAACGTGTACACTGTGTTAGTTAGTTCGGCTTGACTTAACACCAAATATTTGTATCAATTTATATTATTCAGTATTACATACCAAATACATTGTATACGTACATATTTTTATATGCAAATGGGCCCCCATGAAACTTCATGAAATTTGTTTGTTTTGACATTACTTTCATAATTGGAGTACTCATATGTCACCATTTTGAGTAGACTTCCGAGAAAATATCCTATCGCTTGGTGACCAAGCCAATACGCCATTATACACTTTGTTAGAACATATTATTCATTACCATTTTGAATAGACTTTCGAGAAAATATCCTATCGCTTGGTGACCAAGCCAATACGCCATTAAACACTTTGTTAGAGCATATTATTCATTCTATCTCATAAAGATAGACTTATGTTCATTTTCATACAAATTAAGAAATATAATTAATACGGATTAAAGTATGATATATATATATATATATATAATTTGGAATGTACAAAAAAAGAAAATCAAATCTCTCTTTATAGGATAGAAGGAGTATTTTATTATATATTTCTTTTCTTTATATTTTATTTTCCATTAGAGAACATCTCCAAAGGACTATATAAATATAAAACGTTATTTACTTTAAAAAGTTAATGCTTAAAATAAATTTTACTCTTTATTTTGACTTTGAAAATAGAGAGAGTGTTTCTCTCTCCAAATTTAGATACTCAAACCCACTATTTATTCTTATTTATAATAATTACATTTAATAAGTCACATATTTCAATATTCAACCTCTTAAATTATTCAAATTACATTTAAATTGATTTACTGTTGACATATAAAAAATGTGTTAAATATAATATGAGGAGAAATCAGTGAATGCTCTTTAAGAAAAGCAAAATGAAGAGACAAAATGGAGAGTATTGTTAGTGTATACATTTTTACATTTTTTACTTTCTAAATTTAAAGATAGTCTCTATTTTGTATAAGATGCTTTAAAAAAATTTTGAATACACAATATCACTATTTCATTTATCACGTGTTCAAGACGATGATAAATATTTGATATGCTCATCGTGCATAATGATTAAGCTGTTTTTGACAAAATTAATTTAAAGAGTAATTAGCATATAAGGTCATTTACCTTTCACTAATATTGTGAAAAAAGTGACTACCTTTTATTTTTTGACATTTTCATACATTTTCTCAATTAAAAGTTGTTAATCGACGAATATACCCTTCTATTTTAAATAAAAGACAAAGAAAGAACTAATTGTAACCATAGTTCCAATTTTTTTTTTTTAAATGTGCAAACGAGTCCCAAATAAAACAGTAAAAGGGTAATGAGCACAAACTGTTTATACCCATCACTATTATAGTGAAAAATGTCAACACCTTTCAACTGTTGATATTTTCACCCTCAATTACAAATTCGATTGCGCAAACCATAATTTCAATCAATTTTCATTCAATTTCTCAATAAAAGAGTTGTTAAATGATGAATACGCCCACCTATTTAGATATAAAAAAATAAAAATAAAGAACTATTGTAATCATGGTCCTAATTTTTTTAAAAAAAATTCAAACAAGTCCCAAATAAAGTATTAAAAAACTAGAAATTAATTTTTTTTAAAAAAAATACAAACCAGTCTCGAATAAATTATTAAAAATTAGAAATTCAAAAAATTAAAAAGTGCAAATTAATTATTAAAAAATTAAATTTCTTTTTTTATTTAAATAAAAGTTTATATTCTTCATTTCAAAGCTTTTATTGAGAAATTGGATAGAAAGTATAGTTTGAGCAATTAAAGGTGTGACTAAAGTTGAAAATGTTAAAAAATGAAAGATATGTACGTTTTTCACATTATATTCTAATTACCATTTTAATAATTTATTTGTGACTCATTTTCACTTTTTTTAAAAAAAGAAAGGGATTATGACTGTAATTAGTTATTTATTTTTCTTTTGGTCGTGTTTAAATTGAAGGGTATATTCGTCATTTCACAGCATTTAATTGTGAAAATGGATTAAAAGAACCTTTTGCAAAATAAACGTGGAGATAATGGTGAAAATGTCAAAAAATGAAAGGTAAAGCGTTTTTTACAATAACAGTGAAAGGTAAGGATGTTATGTGTTTATTATCCTTACTTTAAATGTATCCGAGTCTTCTCCATCTTCCCTCGATAGCCCTTCTATGCATTGAGCTTGCTAGTGGCTTTTTTTCTTCTTAATTAATTCGCATTTGGTGCATGCTTGAAAAATCCTGACTTTAGAATTGAGTATTCGAGTGCCCAAAATCGTTATAAAAAACTTTCTACAGTCTCTATTGATTGTTGTTAAATGTTTTTACGATGGATATTTACACTCTTTGCTATACAAATGTTTTATGTTTGAAGCAACCAGAAGCTACGGATAAATGTTTTAATTAAAGATGAAAAATAAGTTTTGTTTGACCCAATTTTCTAAAACTCATTTTCAGACACGTCTTTCACGAATTCACCACTTTTAAACTACATATTTATCAAAATCTAAAATTGCTAAATTATTCCGATAATTGAACTTGGGACCTCTCGCACCCTAAGCGAGAATCGTTCCACTAGACCAAATGCTCACAAACGAAACAGCAATCAAAATTAAAATTATACTAAATTATACTTTAAATCTATATAATAATAATAATAATAATAATAATAATAATAATAATAATAATAATAATAATAATAATAATAATAATAATAAGTCACCATATTGAGCACATTCGATTCTAAAGGATATTTGTCAAAAAATTAAATAAATTGATAATTAAATAAATATACATCGGAGCTTAGTTTATTTAAATAAAATTTTAATTAGGCACTTGTTTTATCCCCATTATTTCAAAAATACATTTTTTTCCTTTTTTTTAACCACACGTTATTCAATAAAATAATATTACATGCAAACCCAAAAATTTTTCTTATTTTTTAACTGTACATTATTCATTAATCTACTGTTCCAAAATGTATTTTTACGAAAAAATGGGGCTAAAACAAGCTCTAGATTTTGATAGAAGTTAATGAAATTTGTGGTTAAAAAAGTTTTAGATCCCAAGAAATGTGTGATTAAAATTAATTTTTGACTTTGATTTGAATTAAAATTTTGATTCAAATTTCTATCAAATGGGGGTCATAGTCTCTAACATTTAAAATTTTTAGATTAGATAGTTAATTATATACTATTAAGGTTATGAATACAAATATCGATATCTTGTCCATGAAAATATCACGAAAAATGTCATAATCGTGTTTAATGTTTGAATGGACATCCTGGTTAGTTTTTCTTCAATAATAATTTGGAAAAATGGCTTCAAACTAAAAGTCAGGTTGGCTTTTCATACTTGATATTAATATAAATTCTCTCAACATCAATCGGCACTGGTGTGAATTCATGACCTTCAACCTACGCGATTTCTCGAAGCTTGACTCGACAAAAAGTCTTTGCCCTCTCTAGTCTATATCTTGCCTGTGTATATAGACTTGGTGAAAACTTAACACTAAAGAATATATATAACAAAACAAGCAAGAAAATAATGTCCATGGCGGCCAAAGATTCATTGGAACATACACCAAGTTGGGCTGTTGCCACCGTCTGCTTCTTCATCGTCTCCGTTTCTATCTTACTCGAGCACTCCATCCACCTTCTTACCAACGTAAGAAAACTCGTGTATTGTGCTTTTAAACTCACACGGCACGTGTTTTAAGATTGAATTAGTTGTTACTAAATAGAAGTTGTATGTGCAGTGGCTCAAGAAGCATAGAAAAACAGCACTGATTGATGCTGTCGGCAGGCTTAAATCCGGTATATTTTAAGATAAATGGTCGGTCTCAAGATTATTAGGAACAAGGCTTAGTTTGTTATTCTTTTGATTTAAGGTTGAGTTTTCTTTTATTTTACAGAGCTTATGCTACTAGGGTTCATGTCCCTTCTACTGGCAGTGACTCAAGAGCACATTTCGAAAATATGTGTCTCGACTAAAGTGGCTGACATTATGCTTCCATGTCGCGAGGCAGACTACAGAGCGTCGTTACAGAACATGAAAATTCACGAACATTTGAATGTTGGTTTTCTTGAAAACGTTCGATTATTCAATAATATTTCGGAACATAAAAATATATACAGGCGATTAGATGCTGATGACAAGATCCCTCAGAGTACCAATGCTACTGATTCGTGCACTAAAGTATATGTTTTACTGTTTTAAGAGTTTTTCTTTTCTTTTTTGTATTTGCTAGGATCAATTAAAAAATATATATAAATTTATATTGTATCAGGGAAAGGTATCTTTGGTGAGCCAAGAAGGGGTTCAACAGCTTCAAATATTCATATTTGTATTAGCAGTTATGCAGATTCTATATAGTGTCCTCACCATGGGGTTGGGAAGGGCCAAGGTAATTAATTACAATTAATCCATGTTCTTAATTTTCTATTCAACACAAATTTTGAGATTAATTGTGTATGTCGCAGATGAGGCGTTGGAAAGCTTGGGAGAAAGAAACTCAATCGGTCGACTACCAAATTGCAAACGGTATGTTAATATTAATTCCGCATTTTGTGTCGTCTCGTGAATAATTTTTATAAATAGGTGACCAATTTTGAAATCTGTATGCTGTCTTAATCGGATCGAATTGCTCGTTTGTACTTAATGAGCTCTGATATCATGTTAAGATTTGAGGTTTCATCTTAAAATGTCAACTTTATTAAAAGGAGTAGTTCAAACTCTTATAAATTGATCCATATTTTTATCTTTATTACGGCCCAAACGAGTATGAACTCAATATGATTAAAGAAGAAAGTTCAAAAATAAAATCATCTCTGTCTTCTTTAACCGTGTATATGGAACATTTCCGTATCCCAAAATTCATAGTTATTTTGTTTTGACTTTTTATTTACATGTGAATTGTGAATGGATACAACAACAACATGTGAACACTATAAAATCATAAGCCTTTTTTCATCTATAGCCCCTATAATTTTACATGGAAGCACGCTACGAGGGACAAGTAGTACCCACAACTCCCTTTTTACTCAATAAAATGTAGATTTTTAGCCTTCATATTATAATAGTTCTACAAGTGTAAAGCATCACCTTGCTTTGTTGGTTTCTTTAACCCTATTTGTTTCATTAAAAAACTAAAGATGGGCCAAAATAATTATCCCACAAAATGAATTTTGTTATGTGAATGAAGGTTTAGCAATGATTAACCTATCACATTTGGTATCAATGAACAAGGTAAATAGATAAAATATATGTTCAAATCGGATCACATCGAACAATACAGTAAACACAAATTCAGAATCTTTTTCTTTTTAATCAATTGTTTAACAAACATTTAAAATGAGTGCTCATAGGATGAATTAATAATATTTTCGTTGCCCTTTTCAAATACTAATGTTAACTTACACTTTCTATTAGGGTCTGTTTTATTGCAAATGTGGAAAATGGGTGGAAAGAAAATGAATTCTAGAGAATTGAATTGCCTATAATTTATTTTATTGAGAATTGTAATTAATTGTGTTTGATTGGTATAATTATATTTAGAATCAATGGTGCCACAACATCAGTTTTAAGTGGTGCTAAGTGAAAGGCTCAATGGAAAGTAGAATTAAATTATTCATTTAATTATATTTCTTATTTATTGCCATATTAATGTCATCTAAACAGCCGTTTTAAAAATAGTGGCGCTATATAGTATTACTCTTCTAGATATGCTATTTTTCTCAATCTAATCAATTGGTATTGAAAGAGGTGGGATTTTTATACTCTTTATGAGTAATGATTTTAACCACACACTAGCAAATCTAAGATGTGTACGTTATTATTGCAATTAAATGAAGTATTACTTACTAAAATGAGTAGAACATGTTCTTTGTAGAGTCTTTTAAGAGGTGAATAAATGATTATTAAGCATAAAATTTTAGATGTAAAGAAATTAATCGTCACTAGCTTAAGATTCGAATATGTGATTTAAAAATATATTATAACGACAGTTATTACTTTGTAATTTGGGATTAAACTCAAGTGTCCATTTTTTTTTTTTTTTTTTTTTGCTTATTATTGAGAAATATTATAATTCTAGCTAGCACATTATTGTATGTGATTAGATTCCAATGAACACATATAAGAGTTAACCATGGCAATAATTATACATCTACAAAACTTTCTGATATGTCATCCTATTTATAATACAATGAAGGAACAACAAAATCAACTGTTAAATATTAATCACGCAATAGAACCTCATACTGATCTCATCGTTTAAATGTTTGACGGCGTTTAAAAATTTCAAAAAATCAATTGTTAAATATTCATCACATGATTAAGAGCATGTTTGAGAAAATTTAAAATTCAATTAAAATTGAAAATATAGTCGTTATTAGTCTCACTAGTCTACTAAAAGTCAACAATAACGACTAATTTTTCAATTTTAATCCGATAAATTTATCAGAGCTTGAACTACTCCTTTTAATAAAGGAGTTTGAACTCTGTTACTGCCCTTTCGTCTAAGAGCTTAAAACAGTTAAAAAATAAAGAGTAACGTGGACCCGACCTCAATGAACACAGATGACAGAACAGCTTATTGTCAAATTTTGATTTTCTACATTTTGACTTATTTTATTAATAGAATAATGCTCCATGAACTGAGGCTTTTGATAGGGATGGGTGATAGGGTGTGGTGGCAGCACCTGATTGGGTGAAATTTTTTTTCTTCAAATTATCTAATTTTGTGTTGACACGTATCACCTTATTTTTGAATAAGTTAATATTAGTTTTAAGTTTCAATTTTACTTTAAGAGCGATTCATTTAAGAATTTCAATCTTGAGATACGTCGCATTTTGAACGAATTACTTGTATTGCCTTAAATTCAGATCCGAATCGATTTAGATTCACAAGGCAGACGACATTTGGAAGACGACATATAGCATGTACAGAAACATCGGTTCAACTGTGGATTGTAAGTACAGAATGCTCATTTTCATTTCATTATGTATAACATTGCAATAATTTGTACTAACTGCAACCAAGAACAGAAATGTTTTTTCAGACAATTCTTCAATTCAGTGGCAAAAGTTGATTACTTCACCCTCAGACATGGTTTCATCACAGTTAAGATACTTTTCCAACTTCTTGGGGGCCGTTCTCTTCGTGTTTCAATTTTGTGTTTTGAGTTTTGAATTCGTTTTGTGTTTTGAGTGTCTGTTTTGAAATTTCTGAAAATGCATTCTTTTTGCCATTCTGAGAAATTATTTCCGAAAACATAAAAATGGAAAACTCGTTTACTTTGAAATTTTGATAATTTTTTAATAATATTTTATTAAAAAAAACGAATTATTCAATAAATTTTAATTGTTTAATATTAATATAGTATTAAATAACATATACATTTTAAAATTGGTGAAACGTCCAAATTTTTTTCAAGATATTAAAAAGACAACTTAAATTACACTTGATGAAACAGTTCAATCGATACGATTAGAAGTTTACGTATCATGACAAAATAAGCAGATACTAAACTACATTACAAAATAAATCAACGGAGTCATGTACGACGTCTTGAGTAGTTATTCCACATTTGTGTAGCAATTTGATCCCTAACGTGTCCCATTTGAGCTGTTTGACTAGCATCAAAATGTATGGCTTCTTGTGGTTGACTTGACTCCGGTATATCTTGGAACACCATATTCTCATCTGAATACTCAGTGAAGAACCTATCTAAAACGTGCTTCTGACGAATAAAGTTGTGTATTGCGCAACATGCAGTAGAGATTTGTCTTTGTCTACTAAGAGGAAAGAGAACGCGTTTTCGCTGTTTTGAAAAATTAAAAACAGAAAACGGCTAGAAAACGACAAAGAGAACAGTGCCTTAATTTTCCTAATTTCCTTTTTCTGTTTTGTAAACGAGCATTTTTCTTGAAATTTGCAGGCTCATTTGTCTGCAAGGTACAACAATTTCGACTTCCAAAAGTATATAGAGCGTTCGTTGGATGAAGATTTTAAAGTCGTGGTTAGCATCAGGTTCTAGTTTTTACCTTACTTAAGTAAATTTTTAGACTTATTAGTCGAATTTACGCTATGTATGTGTATTTTGCCTGTTTTTCTAACAGTTAATCTGCCATTTTCTATTTGACAGCCCTCTTATGTGGTTTCTAGTTGTCGTCTTCATGCTGGTGGATATTCGTGGTAACAAATTAATGTCCAATATGCTGTTTGTATAGTGTGCACATATATATATATTATTCTAAATTAAACTACTTGTGAACTTCAATTAGGTTGGCATTCATATCTTTGGATATCGTTCGTTCCACTTTTGGTACGTAGTGATATGTCGGAACTATTTTATGTTTCTTTTTTCTTTAAATTTAGTCTGAGAAGGATAAATTCTACGATTTTTACATGTGTAGATCGTGCTATTACTTGGAACTAAACTTGAAGTCATCGTTGCAAAGATGGCTCTTCGACTCAAAAACCAGAACAGAGTTACTGTAGGAGCCCCTTTGGTTGAACCCAATGATGATCTCTTTTGGTTTGGACAGCCAAAATTTGTTCTATATCTTGTGCACTTGACGCTTTTCGTGGTATGTATACTTTCCCCGTAGTAAAAAAATTGATCAGTCGATAGAGTTATCATAGCCATAGGTGACTCAAGCAATTTGAGGACCTTAGGCAAAATCATCGAGTGAACCTTTCCAAAAACAAAATAAAAAAATTAACGAGACAAATGATCATTGACGGAATTCGTCGATGATTGTCGAAAGTATGATGATTGTGACTCAAATAGAATTATCGATAGCGATATCGTTGGTGATTAGGTACACACTGTTTAAGTGATTATCAACCTTAATATTTTCAGTGAAGTATATAAAATAAGTATTTTGGTGATTCAAACTAAATAATTGATAGAATTATCTTTAGAAAAAAGAAAGAAAAAGTATATAAATATTAAAAATTCGGTGGCCTCAAGTTATTGCGCAACCCAATTAATGCTTGAACCGAGTGTTATACTGTTTAGTCATATCCAACACCATGTACTAAACATAACTGCAGCAAGAATACAACCTATTCAAACATGTACTAATGTCTCATTGTTTACTTCAGAATGCATTTGAGCTGGCTTTTTTCGTTTGGGTCACCGTAAGCACTCCTCAAACTTCCTATTCAAATTTCCTAAATTAATTTCTTAGATTAATTTCACAAATAAATTTCTTTGCAGATAGAATTTGGTTATGATTCTTGTTACCATGAACACGATGCGATTATTGTCACCAGAATAGTTTTCGCGTAAGTGGTACAAATTTTCCATCTGTTTATCTGGGATGATTTTGAGCCTCCTGATGCAATTAAGACCTGATTTTGATTGTGATTTAATTGATTTACATGCATTCTTTAGGGTGGCAGTCCAAGTTCTTTGCAGTTACATTACTCTTCCACTCTATGCGCTTGTGACACAGGTGATCACTAATTTATTACACCAATAGATCAAAATGAAACTTATTCCTAGCCCTATATGTCCAACATGGGACAACGACATTTCTTAGACACTCGAGAACATTTCATTTAGTTCACGTGTAATTTAATTTACAGATGGGTTCTCAATTCAAGAGCAAGACACTCGAGGAAAAAATAGCGACAATTTTAAAGACATGGCACGCCGATGTTAGAGAAAAGAGGAAGAAACGAGAACAAGTAGTTATGGAATCTCCAAGAACTCATTTGTCAACGGCTCCAGAACTGACCAACGAAAGTCCAGCCGAATTTTCTTGGTTTCAACTCCCGCCTTCTTCAATGCCTATTGAAATGAACAGTTTATCAACGGACGAAATTGTCGAAGAAGAAGAGAAACAGTAAAATACTGAAAGTACTATTGGGATTGTAGCCAGACATGTCCAAGTTTGAACAGTTCTCTCTACATATCTATTGGGCTGCTTCAAAGATTTGCCTTCAGAAGACAAATGCACACACACTTGTGTGGTATATGATAAGTAAATAATATACCTTTTTTGAGTCCATCATATATATCAAATCAAACTTGTATATTTATTGTTCACTATCAAAAGTTGTCGGACTCGACTCGACTTGACTTGATATGTTTTAACTTGTGGCATCACACTCTTCTTTAATGTATGGTAAATATACTAGAAATTGAATTTGAATGATTCTCGTACGTGATTGTCACAATTATTCTCAATTTCTGTAAAATATAGTTCATTAATATCCCACAATGCATTTTATTCTTTCTAGGGTGATGTTGGGTCGTAACAATTAATCCGTATAACCTATCCCAACAAGTTTTGGGTAGGGTAGGTTTGAGTCGTGTTCATTTTGGTCTGCTCGTCTCTTTTCTATCACATTCGATTGACGTAATTTGCAAGAATTTATTGTACATAAATATAATATTCCCCAATTCCAATATTTTCCAAACAAAAATTAAAACTCTTCTAAATTATTAAATTCTCCTCTGCCTTGAAAAAAAATATTAAAAAGAAGAAGGAAAGTGGAACATCATTAAAAGATGGACCAAATTTTCCGGTCCCACGTGATTAGATCAACGGCATAATACTTTAACTTGACGAAACAATTGATTACGACCATAATTTTCGTGCGTGCGGAGACGAATGAATTCTTTCTAGAGGATTCACATTGCCTTATGTCTAAACTTGTTCAGTTGTTCTATTCATAATTTATAAATTAGTTTAATTTTATAAAATTTTCTCCAACCTATAAATTTTAATTTTCTTATTAGATTAAAAATAGATTATATTAAGTAGCTGTGTATTCGATTACATTATCATTAACTAAATTATTCATAAAAAAAATACTATGATTTAGTTTAAAAAGTTGTTAAAAACTCAAATCAAAGTCAACAGTTATTTTTAATCACACAATTTTTATCTTCTTTTCAATCACAAATATCAACTTTTATTAAAAATTATTTAAAATTATAATTTTAGCTAAATCAAACAAAGGCTAAGTATAAGTGCACGTTTGTTAAAATTTATAATCACTTATGGATGTATAATTAAAACGTAGATGAAAATTACAAATCCTACATATATAGGAATATATATAGAGTTTGATCAACTTATAAGTAATTATAAATTTTGACAAATATACACTAATTTTGTCTTATTTAAAATTTTATGGAACTAGACCCCTTCTCGATTGGTCTAATTATAATTTTTTTCCAATTTAAATATGAATTTTGATACTTTACATAAAACAATGTATATAATAGATTACATAATATGATGCAGAGGCAAAAGATTAGATGAAAAAGTTGATTGTGCTTTAAATTAGAAAATTGTGGAGTGTCCTGTAGCATTATGTAATTCATTATATAAATCTCAATAAACTTTAGAGAGATCCTTTAAATATTTTAGATGGATTAATAGTAGAATACCCCCTGAAAATCCCATATTTCAAACGTTTTGTATGAAAAACACTCATGTCATCAACATTCGTCTGGTGTGTCATTAAATTCCAGGGAAAAAGAGAGAAAAAAGATAAATAAGTAAGGGAAAATGCGTTAATTAATATTTTCATCTTTAATAACACCCACCCAACATGCAAATGGAGATTTTGTGCAAGACAAAGGGACAAGAAATTTGAGAGGATTCCAGTTGCTAACCTACGTTGTACGATTAGTTCCTTATTTACCAATGATCGTTGAGGTTTCCTTGAGGTGTTCTGAAGTTGTGATAATTTCCATTTTTCAGCGAACGTGCGACATAAGTTGTAGAATCGGGGTTTTTTTTTTTTTAAATGCATGCGTGAAATTTGTGAAATCATGGAATACATTGTTGGAATTTCGTTGTAAAAAGTGTGTGCATATTGTTTGTTGTGGGTCTTGAATTGATTCGTGTACTAACCCATGTTCACATTATCATCCCGTAGGATACACAGACTACTTCACAATGGCTATGTTTACTAGTGGTGTCTTCTTCGATAAGCCGAATAATGTCAAGTATAACATGGTACGATGATGTTTGTGGACTTTGTGAGGGTTGAATACTTCAATAAGGAATGGTTTCAGGCTCTTGAGTACATTTGTGGTGACTTTGGGCCTTTAGGATTTTATTTCAGAATGTAGAAGGGTAATTTGGGTATTGTTTTGAGGAGGTTGCATAGTGAATCTGATGTGAGAATGGTGTTGAAGGACCTTAAATGACATATGTTGCTTGAAATTTATGTAGTTATGTCTATCCAGACAGCACAAGAACCATACCAAAAAATAGTGCTTGAGGTCCCTGAGAGTAGCGCTCGTAATGAAGGGGTAAAAGTACTACAAAAAGTTGCCATATCCCGATGTTTGATGTAGATGAAGGTGGTTGGGTGAGATGAACATTGACGACTGTGTGCTTGAAAATGTAGAGGAGGCCTGGTCGCAATTTGAAGAAACACTCACGTATGAAGCTAAAGTTGGTACTTCTCAATCGGATCAGCATTAAGAGAATCCGGAAGTGGGTGAGGAAATCCTGGACGATAGAATGGAAAATGACACCAAAGGCTTTGTGGAAAGTTATTACAAGATTGAAGATGAACCTGAAGCTGGTGACGAGGTTGAGGACGAACCTGCAGTTGGTGATGAGATTGAGGAGCAAGCTAATTTTGGTTCTGATTTTGGAATGTGGGACATAAATAACCCCCCATTCGGGTTGGGTGGGTGTTATTAAAGATAAAAATATAAATTGACGCATTTGTCCTTACTTATTTATATATCCTCCTCCTTTTTTCTTGGGATTTAACAGCATATCAGACGGATGTTGACAACATAAGTGTTTTCGCGCAGAACGTTTGAAATATGGGGGTTTTCTGCAATTTTCAATAGGTGGGAAGTATATCGCAAATTAAAACGCTTATATGGGTATTCTACTATAAGCCCTTGTTTGAGTCACATTAAAATTTTCATTATCATTCTTCTACTCATTTTCAACAACACATTCTTCAATAAAATAATATTTTTCATCACATCACTAATTTTTTCTATTTTTCAACACACATTCTCCATCAATCTACTATTTTAAAGTATATTTTTCGAAAATAATGCGACTCGAAGAAACCCTTAATCCTATTTTAGATCCATAGTTTTTAGAAGTTAAAATACAGCTATTATCAATTATTCTAGGTTTCTAGCTTGTAGCTTCTGAGCTGTCATACAGTGTCACATTGTTGACTTCACTGAATTATCTTCCTTTTCTTCATTTTTTCACTTTTCTTCCATTATCCATATGTATATTAATTGGCTTTTTCGGTCGATAAAGAATCGTAAAGCTTCAGGTGACCCATTCCCTTACGTTTCAAATGACTGAGGGCCTTTCTGAAAATTGGGTTTTAAGAATGGGATGTCATGTGTAGTCCATTTACTGGTATTTCTTAATTTTGTTTGATGCTTTAGTTTTTTAAGTTCAAGTCTCAATCAAATTTTTATACGGTAGAGAAACCATTATCCCAAAGAGTGATTGACAGAATTTACGTTTGTCGTCTCAAAATAAAGTGGATGGCTTCGATTCAAAGTGATTTTAATGTTAAAATATTCGACTTAAAAAATCAAGCCGAATTAGTGTGTCGTAATAAATTAATCAATTATTCTTGATCAACCGAAATAAATGATAAATGTAACTTGTTTTCAAATTTGTGGATGTGAGCTTTATGGTGGGTTCGGGAGTTCAACCCTAAATTTTATTGCGAATAACATGGGCGGACCCAAGGGGGTCCTTGGGGGGCAGGTGCTACCCCAACATTTGAGATTCAATTTTTTTTTTTTTAAATCACGTTTGTTATCGATTGAAATTTTAATTTTAATTTAAATCAAAGTTAACAATTAATTTTAATAACATATTTTCATGAAATTCATAACTATTTAATTTGTACCCAAATTTACTAAAAATTTGATTTTAATCTCCACCAAATAGGAGTAAAATAAAAATAAATTTGAATTTCGAAATATACAAATTTTAAAAATTTTCCGACGATCGTACGCTAATCGAATCTGCAAATTATTTGTATCATTTCGAAATTTATTTCAAGAATTACATTATGGACATATCGAATAGTTCAAATATATATCGAAAACAGTTAAAAATACGTTAAACGTGAACCTTTAAAAAGACGTCTAACTCGCATTTTTTTAAACAAAAAATCAATTATTTCATTAACATATTATTTTTGCGATACAAATTTCTCAATGTAATTTTCATCATTTTATTAGAAAATTTTTAAAAAATTTCGAAATTTTACATCCGAAAAAGTCATATCTCATGTAAATTTTTAGATGTAAAAGTACATGGAGTTTAATTTAAGTGATCATTTAATATTATCTAATTGTTACATGGACGGATGTTAAACACAATAAAGTTGAATAACATTTTTGTAGAAGAAAAGAATGTATTGCTTTTATGAAATACATAATTAGTAATTACCATATTCCTTAAAAAAAGCAAAATTATGATATATAGAACTTCGAAAAGTTTCCCTTTTGAGAATGTCTTGACACAAAAATGAAAATAATTTTATTACATCGATGTCTTAAATTTAGGGTTTCAGTTAGCCAAAGTTCAATGTAAGCATATTATTATCTTCTCTAAAAAGACAAACTGCATACGTTATTGTCGGAACACAAGAATTCATGGCAGCAAAATTTCCCATGAAAATCTGAAAAAGAAATCTTTACGAGATCGAAAAATTATTACCGTTGGAATGAACACGTGTCAGCCACATGTTTTTTTTTTTTTTCGCTCTCTTGCTTTGGATTCTCTTCGCAGTTCAGACTTCACGTTCTGTTCAGCATTATTTGTTCATTTGTTTGTTTCCTTGTATTGCTCCATACTTTTAAGTCCCTAGATTTCTTCTCTAACACTTCCTTTCTCTCTCCCCTTTCTTCTCCTTTTCTGTATCTGTTTTGCAGATCTTCTGCTTTTGATGAAAAAAGAGTTTATTTTCTCTAATGGGTTGTTCTGTATAACAATGATGTCATTTTCCGGCGGATTTTCCTCAAGAATTTTGGTGAATGTTTTTGTGTTTTTTATTTTTACTTGTACCGTTTTCTCTGCTACTGAATTTGATTTCGGAACGCTGACATTGACGAGCTTGAAGCTACTCGGCGACGCACACTGGAACAATGGGAGTGTGCGGCTTACGCGTGATCTGGCCGTTCCAAACTCCGGTGCGGGAAAGATTCTTTACTCCAAACCCATTAGGTTCCGGCAGCCGGGGACCCAGAATCCGGCGAGCTTCTCTACATTCTTTTCATTCTCCGTGATGAATTTGAATCCTTCCTCCATCGGGGGCGGTTTGGCTTTTGTGATCTCACCGGATGACAAGACTATTGGCGACGCCGGTGGGTTTTTGGGTATCATGGACTCGAATGGGGTCCGAAACGGCGTCGTGGCGGTGGAGTTTGATACTCTAATGGACGTTGAATTCAAGGACATTAACGGGAATCACGTGGGGTTGGATCTGAACTCAATGGTTTCAAACCCGGTGGGTAATTTGGAGACCATCGGCGTTGATCTCAAGAGTGGTGACCTGATCAACTCGTGGGTCGATTACTCCGGTTCAACTCGAGTAATCAAAGTATACGTATCGTACTCTAATCTGAAACCCAAAGAGCCCATTATCTCAGCCCCTCTTGATCTCAACGAGTACGTTGCTAATGATTTCATGTTTGTTGGGTTCTCCGGATCTACTCAGGGAAGCACCGAGATTCACAGCATTGAATGGTGGAGTTTCAGTTCGTCCTTCGATGAAAATCCCAAGTCCAATTCGGTGGTGCCACCGGAGATACCACCACCTCCGCCGCCCACCTCTACTCTAATGAACCCGACGGCAAACACAGTCAACCCGCCGCCACCTGCTTTAGCACCTGCTGCTAATAGTACGTCGTCGCATGAGACCAAAACTAGTGGGAAGTGTCACTCCCAGTTGTGTAAAGATGGTCCCGGGGCTGTTGTTGGGGTGGTAACAGCCGGCGCATTTTTTCTTGCCTTTTGCACTTTGGTGGTAATTTGGGCATACAACAAGAAATTCAAGGGTGTGAAAAAATCCGAGACTTTGGCTTCCGATGTGATCAGAATGCCCAAAGAATTTAGCTACAAGGAGCTAAAATTTGCCACAAAGGGTTTCGATTCGACCCAAATTATCGGGTACGGTGCATTTGGGACGGTTTATAAGGGGATATTGCCGGACACCGGAGAAATAGTGGCGGTAAAGAGGTGTAGTCATAGCGGACAGGGGAAGGCAGAGTTTTTATCTGAATTGTCCATAATTGGAACTCTTAGGCATAGAAATCTTGTTAGGCTACAAGGGTGGTGCCATGAGAAAGGCGAAATTTTGTTAGTCTATGATTTGATGCCTAATGGAAGTCTTGACAAGGCATTATTTGAGTCGAGAATGATCTTATCATGGTCTCATCGGAAGAAAATTTTGCTCGGGGTGGCATCCGCCTTGGCCTATTTGCATCAAGAATGTGAAAATCAAGTGATTCATAGAGATATTAAGGCTAGTAACATTATGTTGGATGAAGGGTTCAATGCAAGATTAGGGGATTTCGGATTGGCTAGGCAAACAGAGCATGACAAATCCCCTGATGCAACGGTGGCTGCTGGAACAATGGGGTACTTGGCGCCCGAGTATTTATTAACCGGAAGGGCAACTGAGAAAACCGACGTTTTCAGCTATGGTGCAGTAGTGCTAGAGGTGGCGAGTGGGCGGAGGCCAATTGAGAAAGAGGTTACGGGGGTGGGGAAAGTTGGGATGAGTAGTAATTTAGTGGAATGGGTGTGGAGTTTACATAGAGAAGGGCAGCTGTTGGTGGCGGCCGATCAACGTCTGGGGAATGATTTCGACGAGGCCGAGATGTTGAGGGTGTTGTTGGTTGGGTTGGCATGTTCCCACCCTGATCCAATGGCTAGGCCTACAATGAGGGTGGTTGTCCAAATGCTTGTAGGAGAGTGTGAAGTTCCAATTGTCCCAAGAACAAAGCCAACTATGAGTTTTAGCACATCCCATCTCCTAATGACATTGCAGGACAGTGTTTCTGATTTGAACGCCATGATCACCCTCTCCTCCTCCTCCTCCTCGTCGGAAAACAATTTCACAGGTGGCGCTGGCGGCGCTTTGAACTTGGTTTGATCGATGAAAATCTGGCTAGGGGCTTCTTGTTCGAGATTATTCCAGTCATCTTTTGGTAATTAATTAAGAGCATGTTTGACAACCATTTTGGTAGAAAAAAAAAATCTACCAAAAGTTTTGAATATTGATTTTTAAAAGAATATGTGGTTAAAAAGTAGGAAAAAATTTTAGTACAAGTGTAGAATATTTTATTGTGTGAATGTATGGTTGAAAATGATACTGTAATAAGTCATAAAATAAATTAAAGAGTGTCAAACATGCTCTAATTGTTTTATAATTCATTAATTTATTAAATTATGTACTTATAATCAATAACGTTTAGTTTATCTTGGGATGTAATAATAGCTTTTGTCCAGTCTCGTCTTGTCTTGTATGTACTCTCCACGCCGACAGGTCCACCTAATCCTCGGTGCTCATTATTTTTTTTAAAAAAAGTTTTGAATAGTTTTTTTAAAAAAATACATGATTAAAAAATAGAAGAAAATTTTGGATTTACATGTAAAATATTTTATCGTGTGAATGCATAGTTGAAAACGATTATATATCGAGAAGAATTATTCATTAGATCGATTTTCTTATGACACTTTTTCCTAGTCAATAGTTTGTTAGAAATGGAGACAAAATGAAAATAGAGGTTGTCATTTTCTTGATGAGGATGACTTTTTTGTAGAGTGGTGGGTGGTTGCTTTCTTAGAAAAACTTGTGATTCGGAAGGAGAAATAAGAGTTTGAGTAAAGTGCGACAATAATCGACACTAGAAGAAACGCATATTTATTGGTTGACGTTTTAGTGTTTGCATTGATGCTTCTTTGGATAATGGATATAAAGGGAAAGTGAGATGAATGAGTGTTGATTATTTTATTTTTTTTCCTATCTTTAACAAAAATATCTTTTCCATGCTATATGTACACTTTTTTTGATATTAATTTTGATATTGTGTCACGTGTCGCAACACAAGTGGCCAGTTTTAAAACAAAACACACTTTCCCGCCCATTCATTTTTGAATTTGCACACAATGTCATCCACATTGTCATTTATGGAATGTACAATAAGTTTTATTCTTTCTCAATTGTCTGATCTTTTATTTTTTTTTATTATAATTTTGTCAATCTCCTCGTAATGAGACTCGAAGTCAGGTCATCGACTTGGTAAAGTTCCGTTTTTATTATGTTCTTATCACTTGAATTATACCTTAATCTCTATACGATATTACGTTACTGATGAAAGAGAGTTATAATTTACTAAAAGTCAATAGTTTAGCTTTTGGGACAAAAAAGATTGCTTCAACTTCATAAAAGATTAACCTATTAATCTCTTTATGGCTATATGCTCCAAGTAAGGGTATGGTAAAAAGGAAAAGCGGGTAGAAAGAAAATGCTATGTGTTCCAAATTAAAGGAAGGTAAAAGGAAAAGTGAGTAAAGAGAAAATATGGGAGAGAAAATGAGGAGGAAAGGGATTAACTTTTGTTATGTCAATTCATTAAAAGAGATTAATAGAAAGTGTGGTGGAAAGCAATATCACTGAAAAATTGAAGTTTTTCAATGCATAAAATAACGAGATTTTACGGTGCTAAATCACGATGGCCATTCTTTAAAAAGTGCACGAGTTTTCATATCGTCTGAACTCGGAATTATTGGTTATAATAATTTTTTAAAGCCTACCTAATTTACACTCGATATGACGTTCGATTCCTTTAAATAATTCGATAACAAATTACGACATCTTCATGTCGATGATGTTCTTTATTTATAATTGCAAAATATTCTTTAAAATAACCAACCCTATACCTACCTTCAAGTGTGCCCCAATATAATGCAAGTTCGTAGGTCCAACTCGTAGCTGTACTACGTTGGATTTGATCGATGTGGGGGAACCACAATTTTACAAACCGTCTAGTCACTGAGTTCAATGTCGTGTTGTATTAAATGTTCATACAGTGCTCAGGGTGCCGTAGTTCGGTCTTGGGCCTTCTCTCATAAATGCAATAATTGGTCCAATAATTTCCTGTGGGAACACAATGGGATGAAGTTCGATGTGCTATGTTTTTCAAAAACAGATAGGCACGTGTATTCTTTCGAAAACTCGGCCAAGACCGAATGAGATTCGAACAAAAGAGATGATTTTGCTCCGGTTTGGCAATTATTATTTTCGAACTCTTTTTTCTATATACTCGTTTTCAACCACATATTCGCACAATAAAATATTCTATACGTAAATTCAAAATTTTTTCTTACTTTTTAGCGATACATTCTTCTAAAAATCATATTCAAAACATTATTTTTTGGAAACAATGACCACCAAAAAGGGACTTTAGTTGCTTCATCACATACTTACATTAAAATAGTATTTTAAAAACACCCTTCGTCACGTCGTTAATTTCGTGAGTCAAGTCATCATATGAGCTGACGTAAATAATAGAGAGACGACTTGCAAGTGGTTAATAATAATAACAAAAAGAGGTTATGTTATCGCTAAAATGTTCGCACTTTTAACAACTTTTTTTTGTAAGATTCAGGGTGTGTTTGAACCACGTTATTTTGGAAGAATGTATTTTGGAATGGTAGATTGATGGAGAATGTGTGGTTGAAAAAGAAGGAAAAATTATTAATGTGATGAAAAATATTATTTTATTGAAAAATGTGTGGTTGAAACAACAATTTTGTTTTTTAAATGAAAATTTTTACCAAACAGACTCTAAATAATTCGATAACAAATTACGACATCTTGATGTCGATGACGTTCTTTATTTATAATTGCAAAATCTTCTTTAAAAAAACCAACCCTATACCTACATTCAGGTGTGCCCCAATATAATGCAAGCTCGTAGGACCAACTCGTAGCTGTACCACGTTGGATTTGATCGATGTGGGGGAACCACAATTTTACAAACCGTCTAGTCGCTGAGTTCAATGTCGTGTTGTATTAAATGTTCATACAGTGCTCAGGGTGCCGTAGTTCGGTCTTGGGCCTTTTCTCATAAATGCAATAATTGGTCCAATAATTTCCTGTGGGAACACAATGGGATGAAATTCGATGTGCTATGTTTTTCAAAAACAGATAGGCACGTGTATTCTTTCGAAAACTCGGCCAAGACCGAATGAGATTCGAACAAAAGAGATGATTTTGCTCCGGTTTGGCAATTATTATTTTCGAACTTTTTTTTCTACATATTCGTTTTCAACCACATATTCGCACAATAAAATATTCTATACGTAAATTCAAAATTTTTTCTTACTTTTTAGCGATACATTCTTCTAAAAATTATATTCAAAACATTATTTTTTGGAAACAATGACCACCAAAAAGGGACTTTAGTTGCTTCATCACATACTTACATTAAAATAGTATTTTAAAAACACCCTTCGTCACGTCGTTAATTTTGTGAGTCAAGTCATCATATGAGCTGACGTAAATAATAGAGAGACGACTTGCAAGTGGTTAATAATAATAACAAAAGGAGGTTATGTTATCGCTAAAATGTTCGCACTTTTAACAACTTTTTTTTGTAAGATTCAGGGTGTGTTTGAACCACATTATTTTGGAATGGTAGATTGATGGAGAATGTGTGGTTGAAAAAGAAGGAAAAATTATTAATGTGATGAAAAATATTATTTTATTGAAAAATGTGTGGTTGAAACAACAATTTTGTTTTTTAAGTTCGTCAAGAGACTTTTGAAGATAAAAAAAAAAAAAATCGTCATTGAAACTAAAACTTGTAATAATTTGATTCAATAAGATGTGAAATCTAACATATGAAACACTACAACTGCAACGAATTCTTTCATTGTCAGTTATGTTATGAAATTATTTGGACTAGATATCGTGAAAATATCCCTAATGTTTGCATGACAATGTATATGTAATGAAATTTTAGTAGAAATTTGCAATGATTGAGTATAGAAGTCTAATGAGACGAAGTAACTTGATAGAAGCCTGACATGGCTTATAATCTTTTGTGGGCGAGACAATAAAAGTTAGGTCAAACACGACTCATATTGGGTCGAACGGTGAAATCGATCAACACATGACAAAGAATCGAGAAATGCCTCGCCAATGTCCCTAGCGTGCTAGAAGGTCGAGCACAATGGGTGGCATAAACGAACAAAACCAAAGATCATTGGGCAATCAAATCGGAAAAGAAGGACCTAAAGTAAATTTTGAAACCTTGCTAAGAGTACTCAACAATACAAGTCCAATTTAGAGTCGTTTGACATAAATTTTGCTTTTGCTTCTTGTAGAATAGATTTCTGAGAAAATTACATTAATTTTGTTTGAAAAAGGAATTTGGACCACACGAGCCTGTTTGCGGGGTGGGCAGAGCTCGATAGTGGACGAACCAAGTGGCTCGCTTCAGCTCGATCCATGTAACACTCTTATGTGACCCTCTGATTTTGAATTATAAATTTCATACAATTCTTCTTTTCACAAAAATAAATAAATAAAATGTGTCCACTAGGCGTAGTAAGTTTATTTGAATAAACCGTTGNTTACGTTCAAAAAAATCGTACCCCATGTAATTTTGCATCTGAAAATTTACATAGGATATAACTTTTTCGGATGTAAAATTTTGAAATTTTTTGATGTCATATTCCATATAAAATTTTCTAATAAAATGATGAAAATTATATTGAGAAATTTGTATCGCAAAAATAATAAATGTTAATAAAATAATTAATTTTTTTTTAAAAATGAGAGTTAAATGTCTTTCTTTAAAACTCATGTCTAACGTATTTTTAACTATTTTCGTTATCTGTTTGGATTATTCGATATGCACATAATGTAGTTCTCGAAATAAGTTTTGAGATGATATAAACAATTTGTAAATTCGATTTGCGTACGATCGTCGAAGAATTTTTAAAATTAGCATGTTATCGAAATTCAAATTTATTATGATTTTGCCCCTATTTAATGGAAATTAAAATCAATTTTTTAGTAAATATTGATAAAAGTTAAATAATTATGGATTTCATGAAATATGTTAGTAAAATTAATTGTTAACTTTGATTTAGATTAAAATTTAAATTTCAATCGATACCAAACGTGACTTTACAAAAAAAAAAAAAAAAAAATCTCAAAAGTTGGGGATCAGGACCCCTATAGGTCCGCCCCTGATTAGAATCATCGATGAAGCAACATGGGCATGGGTTGGGAGGGTGTAAGGTGATAATAGCTTCGAAACATTTTTAAATTTTCTCGATTTATACTGTATTTATATAGAATTTTTTTTATACACATGTGATATTGTCTCTCTAACATTTCACCCTTCCAACATGAAATTTCTTACTTTACCTAATGGAGCACACTAGATCTCAATTGTCCCGCAACCTAAGCAAGGAGACTGAAATGGATTTATTGAAAAGTAAAAATAGATGTGAGAATGAAACGGAGCAAGAAAAGATAGGATGCAACGTGTAGAGAAAAATTAGTAAATTTTACGTATTATTCTACTTCTACAAGGCCACATGACTCTGTACATGCCAGCCACCGGGATAGGTGTTCCCAAGGTGCCCCTAGCATTTGCTTTTATCCTCTAACAATATAGGTCAACATTGTACTTGTCCAAGCAATCAAAATTAGTAAATTTGTTCATGTCAAGCCATGGATATATGTAGTGACCTTTTTTTTTTTTTTTTTGAATTTCAACCTCCCAACACCCAAACTTGGGTCATTAACTCAGTAAAGCTTCGCTCTCTTGACCTCTAATTGTATTTGTATTGAAATGTAGATGACCTGCCAATGTTTTTTCTTTCACATTGGACAAAATGTGGCTCTTCTGAGACGCATTTAACTCTTGTCGTTATTTAAGTATGGGGTTGAAATAAAAGTTCGACTCTAAAGTCTTCAGTAAAAATGACATTTCTTTAATGAACAAGATCTTTCTACTATTATGAACATACATATAAGTCGACATACAATAGTTGTGCATAGAAAATTATAATTAGAAGTTGTAAAAGCTACTTACTAGTATCTAACACCCCCACTAATGCATATTACTTTATTTTAAATTATAACAAAAAAATATAATAAATAAGAAATTTTATTTTATTATATCAATATTATTATTTAACATTATCTTATTTATTTTTCCACCTAATTGGTTCTATGATAGATTATTACCTTACCTGAGCAAATGACTTGTTTGTTATTCTTTTTTTTTAATTCTTATTTGATATCGTATTGAATAATAGATTTTTCATACTGTGAGGGGGGTGGGATCCACTTGTATAAAAATATTCAAGTGGGTCCCACTTCTATGTGAGGGGGTGTACACCCTTATGTACAAATCTTGATGTACAAGTAGAAATGTTGAATTTATTTCCCTTTCTTTAAGAAAAAATGTAAAATATTTCTACAAATATTTTAATTCTTAAATTCAGGTTCATTTAGAATTTAATTCTCAAGCACTCGAACAAAATAGGGAAATCGGCAATCAAAATTTCCCCCTTTTCAAATACATCTCAATTTCTGCCCGCGAGAATCAAGAAATCTCTACCCACCCCAATAGTTTATACGGTATACCTTCTTCGATCTTAATCTCCCTGAAAAATTTGTAAAGCCATTTATTCTTTGTTAATTTTGTTTCTCTTTTCGCTTAACTGAAAATTTCGAGTTGAAAGCTGCTCTCTTTGTAGTCAACAGGAGCTGCAACAATGGCAGATGAAGCATTAACTCCACAAAAGAGAGACCCTATCAAGTCATCAGGCACGGTTGCTCTCTCTCTCTCTCACGCGTGTGTGCTTATGGGTAGTACATAACTACATATTGTGTGCTTGTTTGTGTTAGTGGGGTGGGGCTAAAGTTGAATGTGCGTACTTTCGGTGGACGAAATCTTATAGGAATTATATAACTCGTCTGCCCTAAATCTCATTTCGTCACTATATGTATGTTATTTCTTACTCTGTCATTTTTGTTTGATGTAAAATGTTTGTTCTTTTATTCGATATTTGAATAGCAGAATACCGTATTTGTAATGATTTTATTTATGTTATTTGGTTCTAAGAGACAATCAACTAATTTCGAGCGGGAAAATGTTCTGTTTCAATGTCTCGACAATGCTCTGGCGTTCTTCTTTGGTCAAAATCGATTCATTTGCAATATTCAGCGGCAGAATTAAGTGGATCCATACTGTTTTATACTTTGATTTTATGGGGTGAATGTCATATGCTGGTTATTTCAGTTGGAAATGTTGCGGCACAGAGAAGACGGCAGCAAGCAGTTACAGTGCGGAAGGAAAGAAGAGACGCATTGGTCCGGACCAAGCGCTTATGCAGAGTGGGCGTGAATGTTGATGATGCGGATGTTCCTGTTGATGGGGAGATGATGATCGATGAAGAACAATCCATACTGGAGGCTCAGACTTTGAAAGCTGTAGAAGAATTGAAGCTTGCACTTGCCTATCAGTATGCTATGTTTTATTATTGTTTAATCTATTTTGCAACGTGATAAGTTTCTGCTTCCTGAAATGACTTACTTGAAAAATACTGTCACAAAAAATTTATATCACCCGTGTTTTTCAATTGTTTGCGACACGGCATATGTAAACATATTGAAGTCTCCTTTAAAATATTATCGCGACCATATATACAGGCTCAGATTCAGCACCCAAACTACATTTCAAGCTTAAAATTTTTTTAGCTAGTTGCTTTAATTTCTAATCAAATTGAATGTATGTGAGCATGCAAGAATAGTGTTCTATGTTGAAAATTATATATTTTCTTGTACTATAGTTTACTAAGGATCCTAAAATATTTTTGGTTGATCTTATCTGTATTCTGTCACAAGTCTTTAATTGTTCTTACAGTGTCCTTGTCATGTAACTGTTAGGGGAAAGGGTGCAACACAGAAAAGAGTGAGTGCTCTTCGTGAACTAAGACGTCTGTTGTCTAAATCTGAATTTCCTCCAGTTGAAGCTGCTCTCGAGGCTGAAGCAATGCCTATTCTGGTTCAGTGTCTATCATTTGGATCCCCTGACGAGCAGGTGTAAAAATTTGTTACATTTTGAAATGAAAACTGTAACAGGATTTCAAGTTTTTTTTTTAGATATATATTTAAGAATTCAGAATGTTTCTTGTTCTTCAGATATATATACACAGAAGTTATGGAGACTAACTTTCTGATTTTTCTCTAACTTTTTTTGGGATTGCCATGTTTTAGTTGCTTGAAGCTTCTTGGTGTCTGACAAATATAGCAGCGGGAAAGCCTGAAGAAACAAAAGCATTGTTGCCTGCATTACCATTACTTATTGGTCATCTAGGAGGTTGGTAGCTTCTATATCCCTCTTATGACTTCATATATTTTTTTACTCCTCACTATAAAGGCATTGTTAGATTTCGACTTTTCATATGTAAGATAACTCATACCAGAAATAACATTATTCTTTGGCTCTTTACTGATTATATTAACATAAATATTTAACCGTATAAAGAAACCTAAGCCTCCTGCATAGGTTTCCCAGAAAATTAAGATTCTAAATTAGTTGTTGAATACCATAAACAGAGTTCATTATAACTTTGATGTTATTTTTCTTATAATCATCAGCCATATAGGTTTATATTGTTATCTGATTGGTATTTTCTCAGAGATTATGTACTTTACGTTCCCTCTTTTGCAGAAAAGAGTTCGCTGCCTGTTGCAGAGCAGTGTGCCTGGGCGTTAGGAAATGTTGCTGGTGAAGAAGAGGAGCTAAGAAATGTTCTGCTATCCCAAGGAGCTTTACTGCCTCTGGCAAGAATGATCCTGCCAAACAAGGGTTCGACTGTGAGAACAGCTGCTTGGGCATTATCAAACCTAATTAAGGTGCTGAATCCACCCTTTAAAGACTGGATTAGAGTCTTAAATTGATCTCTCTTTCAGAATCTAATTTAAGCTTCTCTAGAGTCGTATTTTAGATTTAAGGGAATGCAATGTCATTCTGACCCTTATTTGTAAACCTGTAGAATTCTTTTCATCATAAGAATTGCTTTAACTGCATAAAATATTCCACCAATCATGCGCATTACCCACAATGCATAAATTATTTTGTGTAATATACTTGTCATGTGTCATACAGATATCTTAGTGACAATGTGGATGCATGTAGTCTTATTGGGATCTCACTGTAAAATTTTCCTGTCTAGTTCATTCTTTCTAGGTTTCATTTATGACATCATCTGTGGATGTAGGGACCTGATCCAAAAGCTGCAACAGATCTAATAAGAATTGATGGGGTTCTTGATGCAATTCTTCGGCACTTGAAGAGAGCGTAAGTTGCCAATGTCTCAATTAACTCAGTTATTTATCTCCGTGGAGCTCTATTTAACATTGCAAAGATCTGTCCTGTATAGTTTATAAAGACTGCAAAAATGTTTGTAGCATACTTCCTATTCAATTATTTGTAGACTTCATGTGTTTGCATTCTTTTCATAATTTTTTGTTGGAATCAATCAATTGAAAGTTCAGTCTATGTCAAAAATTGTTTAAAATGTTGTGTACCTTAACTGCATGCCTAATTACACCTGTGTTTGGGCTCCATTTTTTTTGAAAAAACAAATTTTCAAAATTCATGTTCAACCACATATTCTCCCATAAAATAATTTTTAACTTAAATCGAAAACATTTCCTTATTTTTTAACCGCACATTCTCCAAAAAAAATTACTATTCCGAAACACATTTTTAACCAAAAATTACACAACTTCCATTTGATCTGTAATTTATATATTACTGGTTATAATCAGGGATGAAGAATTGGCAACAGAAGTGGCATGGATTGTTGTATATCTCACCGCGCTGTCAAATTATGCTACCAGTGTACTTGCAAGAAGCGATATACTTCAAATACTCGTAGAAAGACTGGCATCATCAAGTAGTTATCAACTGCTTATACCGGTAACAAGCATTTTATGTACATGACACACCTAGTCATAATTTTTGTAGCTAGAATAATTCCTACATCAGATACAAGTTTCCGATGCTAATGTACGATTATCGTCACTACACAAACTACCTGTGCATATCTTTATTTTCATCTTTTCGGGTAAAATGCTTCTCTTTCTATTCATCTAAACAATGCAGAAACATCCTGAATTCTAAAAATGCTTTCAAGACATGACCTGGGACATTAAATCCAAAATTTCTTGCAGCACATATGCTGATTTCGTGAAATTATCTTTTAATTCCCAAAATGAGCTTTTTTATTAAAACCTATGCAGGTGCTCCGAAGTTTAGGTAATCTTGTGGCTGGTGATTCTTATGTGATTAATAATGTTCTTGTTGCTGGAAGTGAGATCACAGGCTAGTTCCAAATCTTTTCTGCAAATACAAACAATAATGAACTTCAATAGCATTTTTTTGACAGCTGGCATGTGTTTTCAGTTAATATAATCCAAGCACTGGTCAAATGTTTGGGAAGCGAACATCGTGTTTTAAAGAAGGTATGGGATTCATATATTCAAATTCTACCCACTTAAAGTCTTGAGCTGCTAGATTGTTATTACATAAATCTTGCACCGTTTTACAATCTCTACATATTGCAGGAAGCTTCTTGGGCGCTATCTAATATTGCTGCTGGTTCTTTTGAGCACAAGCTATTAATACAATCAAGTGAAGCAGTGCCGCTGCTGTTGCGCCTTTTTTCAACTGCTCCATTTGATGTAAGAAAGGAAGTGGCATATGTTATAGGAAACCTCTGTGTTGCCCCTTCAGAAGGATCTGGGAAGCCGAATGTGATTGTGGAGCACTTGGTTGCTCTCGTTGGTGGAGGATGCCTTGCTGGTTTTGTTGATTTAGTAAGATCTGCAGATATCGAGGCTGCTCGACTCGGCCTTCAATTCATGGAACTGGTACTGAGATTTGTGATGTTTTGTTTCTTAAAATCTTTCAACTGTACCATGTTTCTTTTAAATTGTTTTACAATGCATTTTGTATTACCCAGGTTCTAAGGGGAATGCCAAATGGCGAGGGCCCAAAGCTTGTCGAAGGAGAGGATGGTATTGATGCCATGGAAAGATTCCAATTCCACGAAAATGACGAGCTAAGAAGCATGGCTAATGAGTTAGTTGACAAGTACTTTGGTGAGAATTACGGGCTTGACACAGAGAAAAGTTCCATGTAGCAAGCAATATGTGTTATTTAACAATTGCAAGAGGCTTTATATGCTGGTGACCTTGCCATTGTTATTTGCAGTAGGCCTCAAGTTTGAGACTGGTTGGACAAGTGAGTCGGAATTGTTTTAGTTTTCGTGTGAGGCCATCGTTAAACAAGCTTAATATTTTCAACGCTCATTTGATGTAACAATGTTTTGTATGTTTTTCATTAGTAAGGATGGTCATTTCTGACTGAATATGTACATATTTTTGGAATAGTTGTTACCTCCCTGAATACAAACTATGAACAATTATTGTTATTTCTTAAATGAGGTTTTTATGATTACATTTGCTTGTTATGCTGTATTGTGCACACAGGTATCAATGCTGCAATTTATTTGTCAGCATACTGCATATCTATGACCTGTTTTGATAGAGAATAACAAAAGTGCTAGACATACACTCCAAGTGTACATCAAACATGGCATTTGATGTGTTGTTAAAAAAGGATTGGAGAGAAAATTGTTTAATTTTTAAACTATTCAATGGTGTGTTGTCACGTGACAAAATGTAAAAAATGACGTATACGTAGCGTGATCAAGAGAACAAACATATAGTGGATTTGATTAGATCTTTCTAATTGATGTTACTTGTAAGTGGTTTTATTGTCTCATGCATGGGTTCTAATTAATGATATTATTATATAATAAAATTTTATGATGTCAACTTTATTATAGAGATTATACTTATATTCGTAACACTGAAATGAACATTTACGTTGTATACTTTCAATATGTTGGAGAGCTCCATTGTAATATTTGTGGAAATTACACAGGCACAATTTTTTAAAGATTACAATTCAAAAGACGGGTTGAAGGTTTGTTTATTTAAAAATCAGGTGGTAATTCTAAATTTAATAGTAATAGTATATTATAAAATTAAATTACACGCCACCCTCTAATCCATCTAGAGCCAGATTTAATCCCAATTTAGCTTTTTTCTCTAACCTATCATCTCTCTCACTTCTCTTTCTATTAATATCTCTCTACGTTCCCTTTTTACCATTTCGGCTCTACACTCCCTCTTTCACCATTTCTCTTCAACGTTCTCTGGAAGTAGAAAGCATAAACCAATTTCTAAGATCCCACTTTCCCAATTTTTTTTATTAGGGCTCAAATCGGTGCTGCAACGATTTTGTGGTGGTTTGCGGCAGTTTGTGTGAAGCTTTTTTTGTAACTTTTGTGGTGGTTTTGCACCTGCTTTGTGGTGGTTTTGAGGGCATTCTTGTGGTATTTTTGGGGTAGTGCTTGTGGTGATGGAGCTCATATGTTCATAGAGTGCATGTCAAATGTGTTGATTTCTGTTGGTGGTGCATGTAGTGATGATAGGTCACATGTGCCAGGTTATTGGTTATTGTGCATTGGTCACGTATAAATATTCACAAGTTACAAATCATATAGAACTCGTCATAGATCATGTTTGTATAGTCACAAGTCACACTCCACAGGTCACGTGTCATATTATATAGGTCACAGATCAATGGTCATTGTGTGTAGGTCATAAATCGATTGGTTAGGTCACGAGTCATTATGAGTAGATCACAGATCAATGTCTACGAGTCACAGATCAATGTCCACATGTCATAGATCAATTAAAATTGGTCATAGATCAATGTACGTAGGGTCGCAAGTCATATGTCACAGTGCATAAGTCATAGATCACAAATTCAAAAAATATGCTCACACACCAATGATATCTCCGACTCCAATTCTCCGAATTGGTTACAAATTCAATTAACCAACTTTCGAATGTGAGAATTGAAGTTATTTGATCTGATGAGTATTCTGTAAATTACACATTGGCTGTTTTTTAATTTCTAATTTAAAAAAAAAATACATTTAAATTACACTAACATTGCTTAGTCATCACGATGTTATGTTAATGTTCTTCAACGACAACTATGTTTCTCCCTCTATCTCTACTATTTGAGCCGACGATGCTCAGACGTTGTTGTGCAATGATCAGTTCACCTCTGGAGAAGTTGTTGGCTATCTCGATAAAATCTATCTTTCCTTTGGAGAAATTATTTGGAAGTCGGTAATTGCGAGGTTGGATGTTGACGGGGTGGACGGCGACGATGGATGGATGCCGACACTGTACGAGAAAATGGTGTCGGACAGGTGCACGGGAGTGGGGATGTGTGGGGACGGGGATTTGGTGGGGGTGGATAGATTAATTTAATTTAATAATATTATTATTTAAAATTAAAATATTGAATTAATACCTCGTATATGAATTTTCCCTTGTAATTTCCCCGAAAACATAAAATAACGAAATGCAGTGAGTGAGTGAAGAAGTCGCAAATGCGACTTTACATGGATGAAACCCTTTCAACCCCCGCGCCTTTACGGCCTTACCTCTACCTTCGTTAGATAACCCAAAACCCTCAAAAATCCTAAATCAGTTCAGTTAATTCACTTTGAACTCTTACTCTGAATTCAATGCCCAAGATTCATCACCATGAATTTCTTTGTCAGAGTCAAAATATTACCCAGTCTTTTGGTTAATGCAAAATACCCAGATTTTAAGCACAGAGAGTGTGGTGACGGTCTCTGGTTGGACAGTGCTCCAAAATGGATGTTTCCAGGGCTTGGAAAGTTGGATTCTGATGTTAAGGTTTTTAAAGCAAAGCAAGTACAAGATGGAAAAGGGGATGATTCTTGGTGGAAAATCCCGATAAATGTTGGGACAATAGATCAAACAAGAGGAATCCTAAACAACCTGACTTTAAGCACAAGGAAACAGGTGAAGTACTATGGTTAAACAGCTCAACAGATTGGGCATTTTCTAGGTTGCCACCATTAAAAGATTGCCAAAATTTCGCTGCTGGAAAGGAGACTGTTTACACAGGAGGGAATCTATGAGAGACCCTCGAAAATGGTTCCAACTGATTGGATTTATTTTCTGTTAGAACTTTATTAAAACTTAAACTTTATGATCTTGCCAAGATCTTCATGTCAAACCATCAAGAAACTGAATTAACGCGGAACATACCTTAATCAATTGATTTCTGACTTGAACAATGAATCTTGAATCTGGATCTGTAAATCTTCAGTTTGGTTGCTTCAAATCTCCATCTTAATTCCTGATTGTGGGTTTTATGGATCTTCCTCTTCATATGCTTTCTCTTGTATTCTTGTGTTGATGGGATGCCACAAAGAATGAGAAAATCACACATGAATTGGGGACCATAACCCTTTATATATTTCCATATGTATTCGGCCCATCGTCAAATACAAACCCTAATGGATCCGGTCTCTACACATATAATCCGGCCCACACTTTAATTAGATGTTTAAAGCCCAATTACTTAATTCCTTATTAGATCACTTTAATTTTGGGCTTAACTTTAAAATAGCATTTATACACAGTTAATTACATATGTCGGCCCATCACGGAAAATTAAATAATTTCCCAACATTTTCGACCGTGTTTTGGGGTTCGAGTTCTTGACGAACCACTTCATTTAGTTATATGCCCGTATGCCACAATGATTATTATTATTAGCGAGGAATTTATTCATAAACAAATATCAACCTTGTCTCCAGGTTTTTGTGATTGTTAACTACCTTGACCAAATAAAAATTATCATTTTTGCAATTTATTATCAGAACGGTCAAAATTCATATGGAAAACTGTGTTGCATGTAATCTTCTTGAAGAAGCCAAAAAAAAAAAAAAGATTCCATTGCCGGGAATCGAACCCGGGTCTCCTGGGTGAAAGCCAGATATCCTAACCGCTGGACGACAATGGATGATTTATTCGTACTGCTTAATAAAGTTTTACATAAACAGTATTTGATGAAATTTTGCAAAAGTTGTCCTAATGTTTTTTCTTAGCACGAACGTCCCTAAAATTTTGTTTTAGTGCGCAATTGGTCATTTTTCCATAAAAAAATGACTTTGAAGGGAATTTAGGCCAAATGGTCTTAATATCTCTCTTATCACGAGCGTTCTTAACTTGTGTGTTTTCGTGCACTATTTTAGTTAGGAAAAGATGCCGTTAGTCCACTTGACAAAAGTGCAAATACATCCCAAACTTTTATTTAAGAGAAATGCTATCCATCCCCACTGGGGATGTATCCCCAATTTATGTAGCGTTAATGTGACATTAAATAATCGGTGAAATTAAATAAATCATTTAATTTCACCTATCATTTAACCAATCATTTACATCCACATAGATTGAGGATGAATAATATTTTCTTTATTTAATTGCAGTCATGCCAATTTTCTACAAGGGGAAATGTTATAGAAAAACTTGAGAAAAAATTAAGATAAATATATTACAAATGAATAATATAATTTTATGACATTCAACTAATCTTGTCGTGAATTCTTGTTTGGTAGATACCTTTTTTTAGAATAAATTTTGTGAAAATCGATTCTTTGGAGAGTGTGTGGTTAAAAAGTAAGAAAAAAATTATGGATTCAAGCACAAATTATTTATTGAATGAATGTATGATTGAAAATGAGTTTGTAGAAAAAGTAATTTTAGAAAATGAAGGCAAACATGGGTTCATAAACAACAAAAAAATAGTAGACTAGCTTATTGGTTTACTAGTTAATAATATTCAAATATGGAGAAAGCTAACGAGGTTAAATTTTTTTCAGTTACCTTCAAAAATGGATTTGATGAACTTACAAAAAGTTAAGGTTATCATTATTTGATTATTTTTATTAATTACCTCCTTCAAAGGTTTATGCTTGTTTTGGACATCATCGTGCACATCGATCTTAAAAATAGTTTTTATTTATTTGAATGTAATCAAATGATTTTCTATCTAATGAATCAATGGCCACCGAGTCAGTGCAATACTTTTCACTGTCTTCGCGATATCTAAGAAGAGAGGAGAACACAATATAGCTTAACTACTTGCCTTTAATTAATAGAGTTTCAATCGAGTTAAGACCTTTATTAGTTGGTTGGCGACACCATCGGAAGGGGGAGGGGGGGGGGGGCGGGGTTCAAACACTCAAATTCATTTCTATCTTTTAGGGTGAGTGTCCATCTCTCTATTCTTTTCTTGTGCCATGATCTAGTGGTGATTCTTCACCCTCGATCCCTAACTATCAATTTTATAAAGGAATAAAGTATAGATAAAGATGGTTTTAATTCGAAGTTCACTAGATTAAACAAATAAAATATGTTGTCTTCTCTTCCTTCTCTGAGAAGCGAATCGTAAATCTGCCACTGCCTTCATAATACTTTTATCCCATTTATGTTTCTTAGGACATTCATATAAACTAGTTTTTGATTGGATATTCTTTGTAGGTTGTCCGTATAGATACTTCGGCCACACTACCAATTTAGTCCTTGTTTGATATTGATTTATATATATTCCCTTTACCTTAAGCTCATTTTCAACCAAATATTCCCACAATATAATGGTCGTGCACTTTGATCCATTCCTAACTTATAATCGCACATTCTTCATCAATTTCATTTTCACAAAACCACTTTCAAAAAATCAAAATTAAACAAGCGCTTAACAGGTTGTCTTATTTCGACAATACTAAAATAAAAATATTTATTTCTTTGAAATTTAACGCATAGAATGTACTTATCCACATAATTTAGACCGAGTCTATCTTTTATAATTATGTTAATAAAAACACGATAAGATCGGTGGAATTTAATAAACTTATATAATTTGTTTTGTTATCTATTTATCTTAATTTTTACCCAAAATTTTCACATTACAAAATAATTATATAAACTTAAAGCACAATTTATAATTTATAAATTGATTCATAAATTCGTTTTCAGCCGAACATTAATTTCAATTGTATATTCATAACAATTATTCAACATTATTTGGTGCACCAGAAAATTTTGCTAGTGAACTTTGACATATTGAGGATTAATACTCTCTTGTTACTTGACTGTACCTTTCCAGGAAGTTCTTAATTGAGGAAGGATCTTTACCACTATGTTTTCTGTTATCTCCACCCTCCCTCAATCGTCTTCCTCCCATTCGAAGTTTTGATTTGTGTTATGGGTAATGCCATTCAGCTATGTTTTATGTTATCTCCACCCTCCACCCTCCCTCCATCGTCTTCCTCCCATTCAAAGTTTTGATTTGTGTTATGACTTATGAGTAACGCTATTCAGCTGTTTTCTGTTATCTCCACCCTCCCTCAATCGTCTTCCTCCCATTCGAAGTTTTGATTTGTGTTATGGGTAATGCCATTCAGCTATGTTTTATGTTATCTCCACCCTCCACCCTCCCTCCATCGTCTTCCTCCCATTCAAAGTTTTGATTTGTGTTATGACTTATGAGTAACGCTATTCAGCTGTTTTCTGTTATCTCCACCCTCCCTCCATCGTCTTCCTCCCATTCAAAGTTTTGATTTGTGTTATGAGTAATGCTATTCATCTCTGATGGTCTTATTTGCACATTAGGTTGTAATGTCGTTAGAGATTTCGGATTGTGCCGATGAGAAAATCTTTTGATCCTTGTGTGAGAATGCTAGCAGCACATAAATATAAAAATGATTAAAAGTTATTCTTTTGAGCTTTTTTGTATATGGTGATTATATTGACATGTTCATATGACGCTTATGTCTCTAATTGTTTTTCTCATCGTATTTTTATCATTAATTAGAACATCTTGTTGCTAATAATAGTTTTTGTCAAAAAAACATTGTTGTTTAGTCGCAATATTGTTATTGTTCGCTAGATGCATTTTTGTTTAATCCCATATATTTAGAAGCGGGAAAAATTAAGAACTTTTAGTAAAACCTACGTAGTTAAAAACCATAGAAAAAGTATTAACTCAACAATCGAACCGCAAACGAGTTCTGCAACTTTATATCATCAACTTTCCTATGTTAGTTTATACGCAAATGCATATAAAGGAGGTGTCACATATTCCACTATAGTCGTTGTCTGGTATACGAGTCACAACCGGTAGGGAAGAGGAGAGATCAAGGACAAAGCTGATTCTTGCTAATAAGAATCGAAAATGCATTGAAAATATTAAAATAACTATTAGGGATAATTGCAACTATGGTCCCAAGTCTTTATCCCTTTTTGCAAAATTTACCTCAACTTTTACTTTGTGCCACCATAATTCCAAACCTTTAATTAAGTTGCAGCAAAAGGACAAATAAATGAATCCATTTGACAGTCAATTGAACTATATTGAGGAGGGAGAGATTCGTAATAACAAGGTATATGTGATAAAGAGAGAGAAAGAGTACATGGAGGAAGAAATTGATTACTCCTAAAGACAAAGGACAAGAATGATGCTTCACATAGTTTGAGGACGAATTCCATGCCTATGAATAGTTGGAGGATGAAAATGCAGCTTCCGATTTGGCGGAGATGAATTGCCCATCGTAAATAGTTCGAGGATGAAACTGAGTCTTCGGGATAAATGGAGAACTATAGACGCTTCAAAATAGATAGAGGACTTAAATGGAATCTTCTGAATAGTTAGAGGACCGAACTAATGCTTGAATAGTTGGAGATAGACATAGATGCCTCCGCATTGTTGGGGTACGACAATGATTTTTTGTAGTAATTTGAAGATGAAATTGATGCTTATCGATAGTTGGAGCATTAAATTGACACTTGTGAATAATTTTAGGGTATGTTTGATTGCAAGGGTGGAAAATGGGTGGAAAGAAAATGTTTTATAGGAAAAATATTTGCCTAAAAAATGTTTTGCGGGGAAAATGATTTCAAATGTGTTTGATTGATATAATTTTCCACTCGGAAAATTTTTAAATTTTCTATTCGTTTGACTTTGTTTTACATGAAAATTGTCCATTAAAGTGATATTTTTTCCACAATTGGTTATAAAATTTGTTTCCATTGCCAAAAAGTAAAAAAAAAAAAAAAATAAGGAAATAAAAATTATTTTCTAAAAAATCATTTTTTTTAATCAAAATTTAGTATTCGTCTGACTTTGTTTTACATGAAAATTGTCTATTAAAGTGAAATTTCTTTTTACCATTAGTTATGACATTTGTTTCCATTGCCNTAAGCCTTGTCAGCCCACCTTTGTCTTCTACGGTGGGACTTGAGCTTGCGACCAGCTCCCATACCACGTGTCTTCCTGTAAAGATAATAGTTTAGGAAATCATAAATCCACTCAACATGATTGGAAATACTATAAATGTTTAAAGCTAGTTGCTTGTGGATAACACATAAATTGTAGTCACATTGCATCTCATCACTAAGAACACCATTGGTTAAGCCTTATCAGATTGCTCAACCGTCGACTAATAACATGCTGATCCCAATGAAATCTCTAAAACTATCAAGTTTTTCTTTTGCTTCTTGCAGGTTTGACATCATATATTGCTCAAGAAGATACACTACCAATCAAATAATAAACATTGTTGTTTGCAAGGTTTATGTAATAATGCTTGGACAGATTCAGAATGTAAGTAACAATAGAGAATCCCACAGAAAAAGTCTGTGATAGTAATCCTAATAATCCACAACAAGGTTCAAAAAGTGAAGAACCTCAACAGGCTTTTGATACTTCAAATAACCACATTTGAAACAGAAAGTTAGAATGCAAAAGTTAGAATCATTATTCCCCACTTTGAGATATCACTATTAAGGTTCCCAAAGTTTTATGACTACTCAAACACACAAATACAAGACTGTTTATATTTCTAATTACCCCCACATTATTACATATTAGCACTTTCTAGAGCTATTTACGTTCACAATTACCAAAATCAAGCCACAACATAAAATAAATGAATGGCCTACTTAAGAATTGTTACATACAAGCAAGGAAAAATCGAAAAGTAAAGCAACAATCTTTTGATAGGAACTAGGAAGAGTAACACGAAACCTACTATCAAACTCTTCATTGTTTTCCATTTTCATAGAACTGAAGCACTCGAAATTTGAAATCCCCAATAATCAACTAGTGTCCTAACATGCTAATTTACCAATCAGCGTAACACAACAGCGATTTAAAACTAATCAATCTTCAATTCAATAACACGGAATTATTAGTTTTCCATGAATATAGCTCATAGATTCGTACTGGCTTATGCACTAATTTTTTTTCCAATGCATCAAGAAAAACCTAAACAGTCACGGAATTATATAGGTAAAGAAGATGAATATACACACCCCATTGTTGCAGAGTGAAGAGATCGAACAACTCGAGAGCGTTGAAGGGTAGGAGAAGAGGAAGAGGATGCGCCGAATTGAGTGTAAAACCCTAATCCAAGAGGAACATTACGAATGTGAAGAGTTATTATCAGCCTTGCTGGGTCGGGTATCTGAAGCCCAGTGGCCCAATTGCACCAGTTGCCCTAGAGGTGTCAAGACGGACGGGCCGGCCATGACTCGTGAAAACCGGCCCGTGGGAGTGCAACCCGCGAAGCCCGCGGGTTACACCTCCTTGGCCCGTGAACCGCCCGCACGGGTCACGGGTCGGCCCGCGGTCCCGGTTTTCACGGGCCGGTTTTCACGGGTCATGGCCGGCCCGTCCGTCTTGACACCTCTAGGGCAACTGGTGCAATTGGGCCACTGGGCTTCAGATACCCGACCCAGCAAGGCTGATAATAACTCTTCACATTCGTAATGTTCCTCTTGGATTAGGGTTTTACACTCAATTCGGCGCATCCTCTTCCTCTTCTCCTACCCTTCAACGCTCTCGAGTTGTTCGATCTCTTCACTCTGCAACAATGGGGTGTGTATATTCATCTTCTTTACCTATATAATTCCGTGACTGTTTAGGTTTTTCTTGATGCATTGGAAAAAAAATTAGTGCATAAGCCAGTACGAATCTATGAGCTATATTCATGGAAAACTAATAATTCCGTGTTATTGAATTGAAGATTGATTAGTTTTAAATCGCTGTTGTGTTACGCTGATTGGTAAATTAGCATGTTAGGACACTAGTTGATTATTGGGGATTTCAAATTTCGAGTGCTTCAGTTCTATGAAAATGGAAAACAATGAAGAGTTTGATAGTAGGTTTCGTGTTACTCTTCCTAGTTCCTATCAAAAGATTGTTGCTTTACTTTTCGATTTTTCCTTGCTTGTATGTAACAATTCTTAAGTAGGCCATTCATTTATTTTATGTTGTGGCTTGATTTTGGTAATTGTGAACGTAAATAGCTCTAGAAAGTGCTAATATGTAATAATGTGGGGGTAATTAGAAATATAAACAGTCTTGTATTTGTGTGTTTGAGTAGTCATAAAACTTTGGGAACCTTAATAGTGATATCTCAAAGTGGGGAATAATGATTCTAACTTTTGCATTCTAACTTTCTGTTTCAAATGTGGTTATTTGAAGTATCAAAAGCCTGTTGAGGTTCTTCACTTTTTGAACCTTGTTGTGGATTATTAGGATTACTATCACAGACTTTTTCTGTGGGATTCTCTATTGTTACTTACATTCTGAATCTGTCCAAGCATTATTACATAAACCTTGCAAACAACAATGTTTATTATTTGATTGGTAGTGTATCTTCTTGAGCAATATATGATGTCAAACCTGCAAGAAGCAAAAGAAAAACTTGATAGTTTTAGAGATTTCATTGGGATCAGCATGTTATTAGTCGACGGTTGAGCAATCTGATAAGGCTTAACCAATGGTGTTCTTAGTGATGAGATGCAATGTGACTACAATTTATGTGTTATCCACAAGCAACTAGCTTTAAACATTTATAGTATTTCCAATCATGTTGAGTGGATTTATGATTTCCTAAACTATTATCTTTACAGGAAGACACGTGGTATGGGAGCTGGTCGCAAGCTCAAGTCCCACCGTAGAAGACAAA